AATTAACCATCTAAATTCCACAAGAAATAGAACATTTGAACAGTCCCACAGTGAAGTACTTGAATTTGTAATTTAAAATACTCTCACAGTTAAAAGGCCTGGTTACTTTTCCAGGGACAGTTTCTACAAGTCATGTACAAAAGAAAAATAATATCAACTTTCCTAGAAAACAGAGCAAGAGGGGGATATTTTCAAGTTATTCTGTGATATTGTTAATGTGTACCCAAATCGAAGACAGTAAAATATCCACACATACACACAACTTCAGAGGAACTAATTATAAGGGAAAAATTGTCCATTTCTATGCTCCTCAGCAGAATATTAGCAAAGGGAAAGCAGTAATGTACAAACAGACTCTACCAACTGAAGTTTACCCCAGGAATGCAAGGCTGGTTTAATGGATGTCATTCAACACCATATACCATTTAATAAAATAGAGTTTTAAAGACACACAGTCATGTGAACAGAACTAGAAAGCATTTTCCCCCCAAATCCAACATTACTTAGGATTAGAAAACAGGCTGGAAAGATAGCTCGGGGATTCATGAGCACTGGGCGCAGCCTCCAAAGGACCACATGGCTGCTCACAACCAGAGGGTTCAGAGGGTCTCATGCACCCCTCTTCTGGCCTTTGAGAGCAGCAGGCACTCCTGTGGTCCAAAAAAAAAATACCCATATATACAAGTACAAATTTTTAAATATTAGGGGAAGCATAAAACCCTCTGCGTTTCCCCTAAGTCAGAAGGTCCATTGGAGCTGGACATGAAAGCTTCAAGGGAAAGGCCTGCTGCTCCTCAACCCTGAAAACTGGCTGGGAGTCTGTGACAATGGCTGATCTGGAAACCTTTTCCACATGGAAGGAAAGACACAAACACACAAAAGAAATGAGTACAAAGTCTCAGAAACATGTAAGGACTCCCAAAATGGTTACCATGTTTCTCCTGGTAACATTGTGCCTAAGGCAAAAGTATCAGTTCTTATCATCTCTGCTTGCTTTGTTCTAGACATTCTAGGAAGTTCAGGGAAGGCCAAAAAAAAAAAAAAAGGCATAGTGATGAGAATTTTAATAAAAACAGCCTTATAGACGTACGATCCGGTATATGAAACTGAAGGAATGTATGTGCATGAATAACATTTGCACATGTGCGTGCGTGCATGCATGCACGCACGCGCGCACACACACACACACACACACACACACACACACGAAAATACTAGAACTATTGAAGAAATCAATAAGGCTGCAGAATAAAATTTTAACATGCCAAAATCAATAATATTTCTGTATATTAACAAAAAATCCAAAATTGAAACTAGAAATCTAATTTTAAATGAAAAATGTGGTACCTCCAAACTATAGAGGAATATGTATTCTACAACTAACCCTCGGGGGCTTGCACAGTGGCTCAGTGGGTAAGAGCCTCTTGCCAACAAGCCTGGAACCCACATGGAGAGGAGAGAAAATCAACACGCACAAGTTGCCCTCTGACCTCCACAGGCAGGCCACGACATGCATGTGTACATGCACACACATAATAAATAAATGTAAAAAAGAAACACAACCAGTCAGCTATGTATCTCAGTGGTAAAGTGTTTTCTACAAGTGCAAATCCCCAGAAGCCTCTACAAACTGAGTCACAGAAAAGCATTGAAAAGGTCTTGTGGGCTGGGGTACCACTCAGTGGCAGGTGCTTTCCTACCTGTAGGAGACCCTGAGTTCACTTCCTGGTACCATGGGGATGAAATCCACAGGAAACTACAAGCAGAGGAACTGTGGCTGATCTAATTTTTTGCTCTTTTGGTTAAAATTTTAGTAGTAAATACATATGGATTTTATAGTCAGGATAAATGGTAAACACTAAACTTTTTGATTTCATTGAAAGTATCTTACACATCCTTGACAGGGTAGTAGCTGAAGCTTGGTTTTAAGGTGAATCAGGGTTTGGATACCTGGGTTACTTTCTAGCATAAAACCCAGGGAAATGGCCTAACCTCACAGCCTCCATTTCCTCATCTACAATGCACGTGTCTGAAGAGTGTCACGAAGATGGACGGGAGGCCGCACAAATTCGCTCGTAAACTGACACCGTTCGGCATTCTGCAAGTGGTCATTCATGCCACTGCGGTTGCTCTGTTCGGGAAGTCGTTTTCCTATAGGAAATGATTGTTTTCCCTTGGCCGTCATTTCCTTCCTTTCTGTGACTTCTTCAACCCACCAGAGTAAAGAACACACAGGCCCGAAGGGCTGGGTGAAGAAAACAGAAACCATCAGGGCAGCACATCGGGTGCCATCCAGCCACTTTTACCGCAGCTATTGCAAGCAGGAAGCTGGCAGCATCCCTTGACCTTAAATTTAAATGCTTCTGGGACCTGGCAGCCAAAGTGTGCTGGGGTGGGCTCTGGAAGAGCTGGCCTTGTATGTGAGGCTGAACTTAGCACCACATGATCATCTACTTGTGACAGGCTTGCCTGAGTCATCCGCTGCAGCCCGGACTCAGAGGTCAGAGGCCAGCAAATGACCCAGCGTTCTTTTGCCACTTCTAACTCTTCTTGCACCATCTCCAGCGTCTTCTGACAGAATCAGAATGACTCTGCAGGCCACCCAAATCGCAGGGCAGCAAGGACACCACCGTGAGCTTGCTAACCGTGTATTTGCAGTTAAATCTGAGAACCAGTAGACAGCTGTAAAGTAAAAAAAACCTTTCATCTTACAGCTGTCTCATAAAAACACAAACAGAAAAAGCAGTAAGACCTTTGAGACTTAGACTGAAAACTCGATCAACACTGCAAAGAGTGATGGAAAATTTAAAATACCACTATGGCCTATAGAAAAATGAACCTTGATCTGAGGCTTAGCAACAAAATAGGTATCTATTCATCTTTCAAATATAACCAAACTGTAAAATCAGTGTCACATGTTAAACTAAACTTTTATGTGAATACAGCAAGAATATGGTTTATGTTTACTTAGCTTATGTTTGCAGAGCTTCAGTTGATTATAATAATCAGTTGAGTATGTAGAATATATCTTCCTAAATAATAAATTGGCTGACTTTAATTTCCAAATGAACTAAAATAAAAGAAATAATTTAAAAAAGTAAATCTAATTACTTTTTTTAAATTATTACAACTTAAGTAAATTTATTTGTATTATCTTTGTGCAAAGGTTTGCAACCATTCCTTTAAAATTGATAGGTAATATTAAAAAGATATAAAAACTATTTTTATAAAATAGGGCTTTAGGGGGCTGGAGAGATGGCTCAGAGGTTAAGAGCATTGCCTGCTCTTCCAAAGGTCCTGAGTTCAATTCCCAGCAACCACATGGTGGCTCACAACCATCTGTAATGGGGTCTGGGGCCCTCTTCTGGCCTGCAGGCATACACACAGACAGAATATTGTATACATAATAAATAAATAAATATTTAAAAATAAATAAATAAAATAAAATAAAATAGGGCTTTAGGCTTGGTGTGGTCTCAGCACTTGGGAGTGTGTTCAAGGTCAGCCTTATTTACTTACTGAATTCCAGGCTAGCCAGGGCTACACAGTGAGACCCTGTCTCAAGAAAAGGGAAGGGGTTCATGTGTCCTAGACTGGCTTCAAATTTACTATGCAGCTGAGGATAACCTTGAAAATTTGGTCTTCCTGCCTCCTACACATGCTAAGGTTACAGCTAAGTGTCACGATGCAGGATTTTATGCAATCCTGGAGATTGAACTCAGGTCTTCATGCACGATAGAGAATTACTGTCTCAAGTGAGTTACAGTCTCAGCCTGTTCCAACTTGTCGTATTGTTATAGTATCGTTTGGGATCAATCGTATTTACTATGCTATATAATTTGAAAGAACGTGAACAACAGTCTGCGTCATCACTAAGGCCATGTGACTTCCCCAAGCTGGTAGTACTCAGAGGGAATGGTCACTTTGACTTACATATAAAGATCTGGTAAAACAAAATGCTATTCAATTCCAATATGGGAATATCCCTGTCGCAAAGATAGGACACAAGGCTGCCTCCACTGCTCAAAGTAACTCACAGGGACACTGGAATCTTAGTCAAGACTAATTCTGAATTAGAATTACAATGTGAAGATTTGACAGAGGAAAGATACTTCTTCATGAAAGTAAAAGACAGACCAAAAGAAGGAACTCTTCTCCAGGGCAGAGTGGGTGTTTACAGGGACAGAAAGTTATATCCACGGATGTAGGAGCTGTCCACACTGAGGTGTGTGCCATCTACTGTTGAAGGGAGTATGGGCCCTTTGTTCTGTCCCACAGAAACTGTATCAATTAAATTACTGCTTGAACATTAACTCCAGCCTTCCATTGGCCAACTCTCACATCTTGGTTTAACCCATTTCTAATAATCTGTGTTCACCATGAGGTCGTGGCTTACTGGGAAAGGTTCAGCATGTCTGATTCTGGCAGCTCCATGGCAGTTCCCTCTCTCTCTGCTTTCTTCCTCCCAGAATCCAATTCTGTCTTCTCCACCTACCTAAGTTCTGCCCTATCAGGCCAAGCAGCTTCTTTATTAATTAACCAATGAAAGCAACACACAAACAGAAGGACCTCCTACACCATTTCCCCTTTCTGTTTAAAAAGGAAAGGAAGACTTAACATAGTAAAATTACATATAATAAAACAGTTATCAAGCAAAAATTACTTACAATATTTATATCTATTTTATCTTTTATCATAACAAAAGAAAACTATATCTATCTATCTATTCTTTAACTCCATCAAAGACTCCAGAAAGATATAATATTACCTAAGTAAATGAGAAGAAACTTCCAAAACTCTAGAAGTGACAGGGACATCTCACTGCCTGTACAGTCACCCAAAGTTCCTCTGTACCATTGGGGCATCCATCTTCAGCCCACAGGCCCATAGTATCCAGCAGTCTTTTCCATGAAGCAAGAAATTTTAAAGACAGTTTTGCCTATATTGGCAGTTTGTCAGTCACTTTCTTCTGTGTCCTACAGAATGTCTTGCGACTTTTTCATGAAGCAGGAACCTCGAAGGACCATCTCACCTTTAGGCAAGTTCAGGAGTCATCTCTCTGTGGGTATTGCATGCCAGTTTATGCATCAGTCCCCCAAAATGAGACTATGGACATTTTCCTTTGTTTAAAAAAAAGAGGGGGAAGTGGTGTGGGACAATCATCTATATTCTGTCAATTATATTTTAAATAAATGCTGATTGGCCAATAGCCAAGCAGGAAGTATAGGCAGGAAAACCAGACAGGAAGTAGAGGTGGGGCAATGAGAACAGGAGTATTCTGGGAAGAAGGAAGCTCTTTTGGCAGTCTTGTCCAGATACTGAAGAAGCAGGATGTTGTGACCTGTCCCACTGAAAAAGGTACTGAGTCATGTGGCTAACATATACTAAAATAATGGGCTAATATAAGTTATAAGAGTTAATATGAAGCCTGAGCTAATGGGCCAATCAGTTTATAACTTACGGAGACCTCTGTGTAATTTCTTTGGGGGCTTACTGGCTGTGGGAATTGGGCAGGACAGAAACCCCAACAAGCAGGCCCTCATGTTACAATCTACCTTACTGTGCACACGCTATCCACTTTCCTAGTTGCAGAGGACAAGCAGCCTCCTGAATCTCTTTTGAAAGAAGGCAGATAAGACCTTCAACTAATGAAGATAATTTCATTCTGCTAGTCCAAACAGGATGGCAGCCACTCAGCACTCGGCTGGGCATTTGAGTGCTATGATTTTTCTCCAGCCTCCCTTAAGGTTTCTGCTGAGGGTGACCTTGCTTGGACTTGGCTCTGTCTCAGGTTTTTTTTTTTTTTTTTTTTTTTTGTAACAAGTTGACAAACGTATTCTTGGGACACCTGGTGAGTCTGCAAGCCATGACCAGTTGGTCTGACAAGCTTTACTCCCTACAGGTTTTAAAAGGTCAATAAGTTGAGGTAACACATTCAGAAAAACGGTTCTCTGTTTCTAAACCTTTTTACAAATCTTATATCTTAGTTTTGAAGGGACTTTGGATAATGCTTTGTCCCATTTAGAAAATCAGTTAATTAAACAACTCTGTATGTGTTAAACTGTACTTGCATATTGTATACTGTGGCAAAGCACACTTAACAACAAAGATAATATTCTGAAAAATGCATGGCTAGCTGATGCTACTGTTTACATGCCATGGAATGCATTCAGATGACTTCTTAATACAACCAACAGACACAATAAGCATGAGTCTGGGGCAAGTGTGTCATGGTACTCTTTTTATGTGTAAGTGGGGCATTCCAAAGTAACTACAAATTACAGTACAGGAGCAATCACTTATCATCATCGTCAAGCGCTGGGCACACTGCATACATGTGTTACCCTTTCGTATGGTGAGCAGCACCATGGGATTATTATACCAGAATCATCACAAACAAGTCAGGAATGCATTGTGTTGCCATTACAACAGCAATGACATTCCTAAGTGGTAGGAAGGGTCCCACTGTGTTATGATCACATGGACTGTTACTGAGTGAATCGTGTGGACATGGTGTGCGGCCTCATGCAGTTTTCAGAAATCCTCTGGGATCTCTAGTTTTTCCATTTTTTTTGAAAAACTTCACGCTGACAGAAAACTGAAACAGTACATTGTTTACCCCTCTTAGATTGAGTTAATGTTTTATCAGATTTACTTTGCCTTTTCTACTATTTTCCTGAGCTATCTGAAGATAAATTGTACACATCACAGCATTTCAACCTTCGGTGCTTCTGTATATATTTCTTGCAGATTTTAACCTATAAGCCACCATGTTATTACTTTAACTAAAAAAGTCAGTATTGTGGCAAAAAGTGTCTAATAAACTCATAGTCAAATTACCTAATTACCCCCAAATTCTTTTAGGTTTTTAATCTAAGGAACCAATAAAATCAATTGTTATATCTCTTGAGAATCCTTTCATCTAGAAGAGTATCCTATAGTTGCTTTGATAGTGTTGATATTTTTAAATAACGAGGTGATCCCAAATAATGTCCCAAAGTCTAAGTTAATCTTATTTCCTCACAATTAGATTCATTTTACATATTTTGACAACAATATAAGATATGTGTATTTCTAGTAGCACCCTTGACATGACAAAAAATAAATATTAGTTTTCCATTGTTGCTAATGCTGTCTGTGACGTCCTGGCTTTGATGGCATTCCTTAGCTTTAGTCCCATAAGATCTATTTTCTTTGTTTTAAAATAGTTTTTAGATTTACTTACCTATACAAATGTTTTGCTTCTATGTCTGTCTGTGCTGCACGTACCTGGTGCCTGTGGAGGTCAGAAGGGGGCATCAGAACTTCCACGGAAGTTATGGAGACAAGTAAGCTGCCATTGGACGACAGAGACTGAGCCTGCACCTTCTGCAAGCACAAGCAGTGTGAATTGCTGAGCCTTCTCTCTAGTCTTTTTCTGTTTTTAGCTGAGGTGATGCTGAACCAATAATCACAATAATGACAATTACACAATGTTACCTGTGATTACCTTTCCCAGCGCCTGCGCCTCCTATACTACCAAGGGCTAGATTTTTTTTAAATCTATTAATATTATTGCATTATTTTTGACATTCAAAGTCTCCCAGACTTAGTAAGTTGGAGTTCGTCTGTCCTGTGACATGACTGATTTCAAACTAAGTAGCAGAATTTTAGATTTGTGGATTCCTAACAGAAGTCAGTAGTTTTACGAGCTTTTCCAAACCAAACCACTTTAGAATCAAGTTTACTTCTCAACAGTCAAAGATAACAGATTTAATTTTCCCAAAAGTTCTAGTGTGTGAGAACATAGTTATTCTTATCGAGTTAGGCTCACAGAATCCTTCTGACAAACAGAATTTAAAAATCCAGGGATACAGAGTTCAGTTCAAGGCTAGGCTCCCCACAAGGGTGTCTTCCACCACAGTGGGACACAGAGTCCCAAGCTACCACTGAAAATGCCACCACAGAAACAATACTTGTGATTTTTTTTCTCAACTGCCTTGTATTTTTGAAACCCTGACAAAAAGTTATCTTTAAATTTTAATATGTAATTTTAAGATGTATCTCAAGAAATAATTGGCTTGTATTATTTTCAAGATCTTTTGATCAACTTTTCAAAAATATTTTTAAAATTAACATCCAGGTATAATGCTGTGTGTGACCTGGTCAAACAGAGAATTGTTTCTGAAATATACTTATGACAATTTATATGATAAAAAAGGGCAGGCTAAAGTGACACTGCCATATGAATTTGCTTCCTTGGCACCTATGCTTCCCTTCCTCCTTTGGCGACGATCCTTGCTGTCTTTTCTGGGGATCCTTATAATTCTGAAGAAACTTACTCCACATACCTGGACCCAGGAATTGATCAAGGGTAGACACACAACTTCGGCAAGGGGAGTAAAAAAGAACCCGAGGCCTGGCTTGAAGATGCTGGTATGTACGTTTTGTCTTTCCTGTTAGACATGGAAGAAAGTTCAATGCCTGAGAAACTTCTGAACTTTACATCTGTTTTACTGTTCATTCATCTGTTTATTTCATAATCATTTAGAAATATCTAACATGTGCTAAGTGGGAGGAGCAGGTTAACAGCTGGTAAAATATGAAGCTGAATAAAACATGGCCAGTCAATTGACATTTACATCCTACCCAAGTGTGCTTGGTGACTCACTTATAATCCTACTATATGTGAATTCAAGTCCAGCCAAGCTACATAGTGAGAACAAATCTTTAAAAAGATATCCAGTGGAGGAAGAAACATGTTAGAAGATCAGTAGGTCAATATTCTTGATTTACATGACTTTAGATATGAGTCAGACTGGATGTTTTGGATAATATCTTAGTCTTAGCTAGGCAGAGTGCTTAAACATACCGTCCTTTAAATTACAGGTACATATATGTCTGTGCATGTGAGCATAGACCACATGGACGACCGAGGCATCAGATCCCCTGGGGCTGAAGTTACAGGCAATGTGAGTCTCCTGATGTGGGTGCTGGGAGCTAAACTCCTGAACTTGGGTCCTGTGCAAGAGAAGTACACACGCTTAGCTGCTGAACCATCCAGACCCCAATATATCCTTTTATAGAGCAGAAAATGTCAAGTATTTCAGTTTATTCTGAACCACTCAGCTATTTGGGGTTTGGGTAAAATTACTAGCTGTAACCCAACTGTGAAAGGTGGGATTTAAAAGTCCTTCCATCATTGCTAGCATCTAAATTCAAAGTACAGCCTTCCCTTAAAGCCTAGTTTCTTATTGCAGAGAAATACAAACTTGAATGATGTGGGATGTCTTTATGTATATGTGTTTCTTTTATTGGTTAATAAGTAAAGCTGCTTTGGCCAATGGTAAGGCAGAATATAGCCGGAAGAATATAGCCAGTCTGGAGAGTAGGCAGAGCTGATGCCTTGTAGCTGCTAAAGGAGACAGACAGACCCTTGCCAGTAAGCCACAGTCTCGTGGTGATACACAGATTAATAGAAATGGGCTAATTTAAGATATAAGAGTTGGTTAATAAAAATCCTGAGCCAATAGGCCAAGCAGTGTTGTAATTAATATAGTTTCTATGTGATTATTCAGGAGACAAACAGTCTCCTTTTACAAAATTACATCCAACATTCCAGAATGAACATCCACGTAAAGCCTAAGAAAGCTTTAAAAAAAAGTACTTCTAGACTCACAAAAATGGGAGCCAAGCACAGCTTCTTGGTAGCCACACCTTTTTTTTTTTTTTTTCCAGATAGGCCCTGTTTGTAGGCTGCAAGCAGAGGCACGGCTCCTTTAAGAAATGGCTTCCTGGTTCCCTGGTTTGTGCTGGCAGCACAAATAACTCTGGCAGCTCTTTCCAGAGGCCAAGCATTTGAATGGGTTTTGTGAGCAGCATGCTGCACCTGCTGCATCCCTGATGCTGAGGTGGAGAGCATGACTCACAGAGGCAATGAACATGCCTCTGCCATGTTGGACTAGGAAGAGCCAACAGCCGAGCTGGTCCAGCCAGACTCGTTTAGCAATTAAAAAAAAAAGACACTCCTGGTCAGAAAATTATTACAGATATGCAATAAAGACAGATTCAAACAGAAATAAACCTCTGAACAGGTCATAGTGTGTTTTAAAAAAAATGTATGTAGGCTTGGGAGAGAGAAGAAAAAGAGTACAGAGGTTTACAAAAATAGTTTTTAAAAATAAAGTCTTTAAAGAGACAGTAGAAGTAATATAAAAGAATACAGGCAGTCAGAGATTAAAGGAGTAAAGAAAAATAAGCCATGTAAAGATGGGATACACATAGAGAATCTGGATTACATAGAATATTGTGTTTTCTTTGAACTTTTTGACTGCAGAGAGACATTTGATTCTGGAGACTGCTAAGTTAAACCAACATAAAAGTATCTTGACTTCAAAATTTGAGTCTAAGGATTTGTTGCTTTGGAAACAACAAATCCACACGTTTGTTTCCACAGAAGATGAGAACTTGTGGATTCCTTCCAGGCTAATGTGGTTTGATGGAACAAGAACCCCCAAAAGGTCTCCGAGAACCCTAAAAATACTTTGCCGAATGATGTGGGATTTCCCTCTGTATGCTGTTATTACCATTAATAAATAAAGGAACTGCTTTGGAGCTATAGCAGGGCAGAACTTAGGTAGGCGGGGAAGATGGAACTGAATGCTGGGAGAAAAAAGGGCGGAGTCAGAGAGAAGCCATGGAGTCTCACCAGAGACAGACGCTGGAACTTTACCTGGTAAGCCACAGCCACACGGCACTACACAGATTAATGGAGATGAGTTAAATTAATATGTAAGAGTTAGCCAATAATTAATACAGTTTCTGTGTGATTATTTTGGGGCTAAAAGGCTGGGAACCAACAACCAACAGGACACAGTTTGAAGAAAACGATGCCCAATTCCCAAAATGATTGTTTATGTAAGTGTTTGTTTTTATTTAAAAGGAATTGGGTATAGTTAGATGGTCCTAGTCAATTTCTAAATAATAATAATAATAAGGGGGCAATGATATAGAGATGAATAGTTTACATTGGGGGATCTTGGTTTATTGATTCTAACAACATCCATTTTGTTATATGTATATTTATACTCTTGTTTAAGGCATTATGTTTATGCAGCTCATTAAAAAATGTAATGTAGCCAGGCAATGGTGGAGCACGCCTTTAATCCCAGCACTCGGGAGGCAGAGGCAGATGGATCTCTGTGAGTTCGAGACCAGCCTGGTCTACAGAGCTAGTTTCAGGACAGGCTCCAAAACCACAGAGAAACCCTGTCTCAAAAAACTAAAAAAAAAAAATGTAATGTATAATTAAAAACTACAGATTAATAGTCATTTATAATGGTCAAACTTGTAGTCATGACAGTTTGGTTTTCTACATAATCTTCAATGCTTCCAAGACCTACAGAATATGGCATTTAAAAGAACTCAGACTTTTTTTTGACAATGAGACATGTCTGCTTCTGGAAGCACCAGTTTACTTCAGAGAGGTTGATGGGCCTCAAAGAAACATGTTATGGAATTTGCCTTCAATGTGACAAGGCTAACCATTTGGGCAAGAAACTGCTCTTGCCTGGACTGCTTGATGTTATGCTGTATCAACTGAACATGCAGGTCCCACAGAAAAATGACTGCTAACCTTGCCTAAAGAAGGTGAAACAGCCCCTCGGGGTTCCTGCTTCATGAAAGAAACTGCCAGACATTCTGCAGGACACAGAAGAAAGTGACTGATGAACTTCACCATTATAAGGTAAAACAGATCTTCAAATTTCCTGCTTCATGGAAAAGTCTCCTAGATACTATGGGCTTGTGGGCTGAAGATGGATGCCTCAATAATACAGAAGAATATTGGGAGACTGTCCAGACAGTGAGAATTCTCTGTCATTTCTAGAACTTTAGAAGTTGCTTACAATGTACTTCCTGTTTTTTTAGGTAATATTATATCCTTCTGGGGTCTTTGAAGAGTTGAAGACAGAGAATTATAGTTTCCCTTAGTTGTGATAAAATTAGATATAAAACTTTAAACTCACAAAGATAGGCTAGATGATAGAGTATTTTCCTTAATTTGATAAATGTAAACTAAATATTGTAAGACTAATTCTTAATATCTGTTTTGCTATATGTAATTTTACTATGGTAAAACCTTCCTTTTTATTTAGACAGATAAGGGGAGATGATGTAGGATGTCCTTCTGTATATGTGTTGGTATTATTGGCCTATGGCAGGGCAGAATATTGCAGGTTGAAAGATATATATATATATATATATATATATATATATAGAGAGAGAGAGAGAGAGAGAGAGAGAGAGAATAGGTGGAGTCAGGAAGATGCCATGTAGCTGCTAAAGGAGACAGATGCCAGACCCTTGCCAGTAAGCCACAGTCTCGTGGTGATACACAGATTAATAGAAATGGGTTAATTTAAGATGTAAGAGTTAGCCGGGCGGTGGTGGCCTTTAATCCCAGCACTTAGGAGACAGAGGTAGGCAGATCTCTGTGAGTTCGAGGCCAGTCTGATCTACAAGAGCTAGTTCCAGGACAGGCTCCAAAGCTACAGAGAAACCCTGTCTCAAAAAACAAACAAACAAACAAACAAAAAGAGATGTAAGAGTTAATTAATAAGAATCCTGAGCTAATAGGCCAAGCAGTGTTGTAATTAATATAGTTTCTGCATAATATAGGTCTGGGTGGCCAGGAAACAAACGAGCAGTCTCTATTTACACTTGAATGTTAAAATATAATAGCACTTTCATGTCATACTAAATGAGTATCAAGAGCAACTTAAGGACAAGACACAATAATACCATGTGACCTGAAAACTGCTTTTCAGGGGCTAACTCCTTCTATTTGTCAGGGTTCTCCAGAGAAACAGAACCAATAAAATGTGTACTAAAACATTTACTGGACTGGATTATACAGTATGGCATTACCAGATAGTTAACGACTATCTCCATGCTGGAGAGGCTAAGAAGCAAGTAGTTTCTCAGTCCAGAGACACATTGCTCAGCAGTCCCAATCTGGCAATTAAGTACTAGAATGCCCGGAGAGCTGCTGATCTTCAGTTCCCACTAGAAGGGTAAAACTGGACTCAGGTGTCAGGGAAGGAGACAGCAGCAGGGGCGGGAGTAGAGGAGATGCTCAGCAGAGACACAGGAAAGGCAGGCAGGCAGCGATCCTCTCAATCCACCTTTTATCTGGGTCACTTTCTGGCAGATGCTGCCTCCCATAACCAGGTGCCACCATAAGGGAGGGTCTTTCCCCTTCAGTCCGTCTTGAAGAATTACCCTGAAGGACTGGTTCAGAAACACGTCTCTGACAAACAAGTTCCACCATCACAACCACACACTCATCATTACTATGTCCCGTCTGACCTGATTACACCTGGAGCACAAAATAACTGGGAATTTAGAGCAGGTCTTTGCAACCAGGTGGGAGAAAGTGTTTCTACAGTGTCATTAGCTTCACATGGGTAGTTTCCCCATGAGCACACTCCTCTTTTGCCCTGGGCTCTCCCTTACAAGTATGGCAGCCATCCTTCACCCTTGCTCAGTGTGTTCTATTATTATCACTGGGTGGAAGAAACACTTAGACCCGTCAGTGTGTGATTTACACAGGGTGAGAGAGAGCCCTGAAACACCCTATGGGAAGAAAATCCTCAAGCCGGTGGAGGATAAACTGAATCATTAAACTATCATATATGCTACTTATAACTGTTATTATCAACTGTGTTTTCTAATGATGGCCAAAGCTAGAAAGATAAAAGTCATTGTTACTAATTACAAATTTAACTCTGATGAAAACATGGATTGGGCTTTGGGAGTTGATACTAAGTAGCTTTTTGATGCCAAGGAAAATGTAAAGATGTAAAAAATGCAAAGCCTTGGCCACATGTAAAACTCAATATGGAGGCCCAGCATTTGCTCATTACACAAGGCATCCAAAGCAGTGTGTGCGTGGGGGGTCTCACATTATTCATCACTTAAAGCTTCTCATCCTAAGCTTCAGAAATGTGACCCAGAGACCAAGCACGAATAGTTGACTGGAGGACAGTTGATAGTTGAAGTCGACATTTTACTGCATTTAAGTTATACCCAGGAAGCTCAAGGAAACGGAAAATTAGATGCCAGGATAGCTTTTGGTTATTCTTGACAACGTGAAGATGTGCTGCGTGATTCTCCGTTTCCCAGTTTTGCCACTGAAGCTGACTCAGGGTTACTGCAGGTTTGTTGGGAATGGTAAAGTTGCGGAGCTGCCAGATAATCAAGATTCTACCCTGTAGGTGTCCCTGCACTCTGATTAACTGCATTTTCCTTTCCTCGCGCCCCTACCAAGGCTATATAGTATGAGGTCTTAATTTAAAACAGTACGGATTTAAAAAAAAATACTTAAAAAAATTCCTGATTTTCCCCTTCAAGGCCACAAGATTTATTTACAGCCATGGGGTAGACAGACAGCATGGCAGGAACTCTGAGGGGAGTTCAGGCCCCAGCACAGGAGAGATTGCATGAGAGGATGGCTCTGAAGCCTCTAAGCAGATTTAAAGCCCCTTGATGGTTTTTTAGAGCAGGGTTATATACATACGTGTGTGTTTGTGTGTGTATACATGTGTACGTATATATGCATGATGTATGTATATACATGTATATGCATATCACCGTTAAAGAAACATTTTAGGGGACTCCAACCCTTAAAAATGTAGTATTACGTGCAGTAGGATCAGAAACCCATTGCCACGCACTGGCTTTGTGGGAGCCTAGGCAGTTTGGATGCTCAACTTACTAGACCTGGATGGAGGTGGGGGTTCCTTGGACTTCCCACAGGACAGGGAACCCTGATTGCTTTTCGGACTGAGGGGGGGGGGGGGCTTGATTGGGGGAGGGGGAGGGAAATGGGAGGCGGTGGCGGGGAAGAGACAGAAATCTTTAATAAATAAATTATAAAAAAATGTAGTATTACTTAAAAAGCTAAAAGCCTTGTCAAGATCTATCTTATTAAATTTTTTGCGTTATGGAAAACTCACACCAGAACAAGAATTTCCAATGTTCGTGGATAGGAACAAAAACATAGCCAATAAATGTTTCTGAAAAATCATAGACTTGGGGCAGAAGGGTGTTCTTATACTGAACCTTGCAAGCCAGAAGCAACCATTAGGCTTAGGCACCCCTCCCCTCCGCCGGATAACCAGCCGGTCCAAATCAACACCTTGCAGCCAGCCTGGGCGCGGCGCTCACCGCCCCAGACTGCTTCGCAAGGCAGCTCAGCTCCCGGATCCGCGTTTCAGCGTCCACACCGACGGTCCTGGTAAAGTTTTAGAAAGTGAGAATTTCCAGGGGCTGAGATTCGCCAAGTTCACCAGGAGGCCGAGGCTGGGAACCCGTGTGGGTCCTGCTCCCCGGCAGCGGCTGACGTGAGATGGTCAGCAGCCAGGACAGGGGCCAGATCCCTCAAGAAAAGCCAAGCCGCTAGTCGCCGACCCCGGCTCACCCCGCCGCGGTCCCAAGGTCCCAAACCCCGTCCCAGCCCGCAGGAACCCACAGAGCAATAGGACCGCTCGGGAGCCGCCGGAGCCCTGCAGTCTTGCAGGACCTGGGCGTGGCTTCTCAGAGAAGGAGGCGCCCGGGAGAGCTTACGTCACTCCGGCTCTGGCCGTCAATTGGCTGGGGTGCAGTGCGCGAAGCCCGCCAGCGTCTCCGCCCAGTCCCGCAGCTCCTCCTCCTCTCCAAGCCGCTGTGCCCCCCGCTGGCTCGAGAAGGAACCGCTCAGGCCGTCGCCGCCAGCCCAGTGCGGACGCGGAGAAGGAGGCGGAAGACGGACGCGCTGGTCGGCTTGCTCCTCCCGCACCCGGCTCCCCAGCAGGCGCGGCGGCCAGGGGCGGAGCCGCCGCGGGCACGCCCCGCCTCCGGCCCGGGACGACGACGCTGGCCGGCCGCCGCCCCCCTCGCCGGCGAGACCCGCCTCCGGCCCGCCCCGCCCCGGCGGCATGGAGGGGCAGCGCTCTTGACCGCCGCGCCGCCGCCCGGGCTCTCTGCTCCTCCCGCCGCCCCCGCTCCCTCGCTCGCATGTCCGCGCCGCCTTAGCCGAGGATGCTCAGGATGAAGCTGCCGCCGAAGTCGACGCACCCCAGCGAGCCGCCACCCGACGCGGAGGAGCCCGAGGCGGACGCGCGGCCGGGCGCAAAGGCGCCGCCGCGCCGCCGCCGCGACTGCCGCCCGCCGCCGCCGCCCACGGGCCTGTCGCGAGGCCCGCCGCCGCCGCCGCCGTCGCCGCCCCGGGGGCTCGAGCCGCCTGTTGCTGACGGACCGACGGCGGGCGCGGGCATGCCGGGCGGCGGCGGGCACGCGGCGGCGCTGCGCGAGCAGGAGCGGGTGTACGAGTGGTTCGGGCTGGTGCTGGGCTCGGCTCAGCGCCTGGAGTTCATGTGCGGGCTGCTGGACCTGTGCAACCCGCTGGAGCTGCGCTTCCTCGGCTCGTGCCTGGAGGACTTGGCGCGCAAGGACTACCACTACCTGCGCGACTCCGAGGCCAAGGCCAACGGCCTCTCGGACCCAGGGTCGCTGGCTGATTTCAGAGAACCCGCCGTGCGTTCGCGCCTCATCGTGTACCTGGCGCTGCTGGGCTCGGAGAACCGGGAGGCCGCCGGCCGCCTGCACCGCCTCCTGCCTCAGGTGGACGCGGTGCTCAGGAGCCTCCGCGCGACTCGGGCCGAGGGCTCGCGTGGCAGTGTGGAGGACGAGCCGGGTGGCGATGGCGAGCAGGACGCGAAGAAGGACGGTCTCGGCCCGGAAGGCGGCGGCTGCGCCGAGCTCGGGACTGGAGGCGGGCTTGGCTTCAGGGCCCAGGAGGAACTGCTGCTGCTCTTCACCATGGCTTCGCTGCACCCGGCTTTCTCCTTCCACCAGCGGGTCACCCTGAGGGAGCACCTGGAAAGGCTCCGCAGCGCGCTCCGCGTGGAGCCCGAGGACGCGGAGGTGGAGGCGTGCAACTTTGCGGGCTCCAGGGCCCAGGTAAGGCTCGGAGATGCGAACCAGCGGCCCCGCCCTCGGAGGCCCCCGAATCCAGCTCCGACCCCAGCCTCGTGTAGGTGTCCCGGAATAACCACGCCACGGCTCTCGCCACGGCTAACCTCTTCGTTTTCTTGGGCGACTCCGCTCCAGTCACCCTCATACACAAACAAGCTGCCCGCCATAACAGAATGCTCTAGAAGTCTCTACGTGCACGAGTTGCCACGGAAGACGGGGAGCTCTCTGACCCGAGACCTCGGATGAGGAGGCTTGTGGGACGCTTTGGGCTTTGAGCATTGTGGGCACTAGGTGCAAAAGAAAAAGGAAGCGCTAGAAGGGCCTGTCAGCCGCAGTCTAGCCCTGGGTGGGCAGTTTCCTAGTCTGTCAGCCTGCTTAAAGTCTATGCCATAAGGGACTTTTCATGCTTAGTGTGTGCCAGTTAAAAAGTTCGAGTAGGTCTTTTGGCTCCTACTTAGAGAACTTTGTATTCTCAGAAAAAAAAAATCTATGGAGACCTATTAATTAACTGACCTAACACTGGTCATCTGGGTAAAAGGCCTGGGATCGCCTGGCCAAGCCTTTAACAAACCACGAAAAGCTTTCCTAAGGGGCTTGACTTCTGCTTCCAGAGTTGGGTCTGGTAATCATAGGTCTTTACTATAGGCCTTAACGGTGTCTAAAGGAGTTATTTAAACACATATTTAGTACATAGGAATCCACATGTCGCAAAAATGGAAGAATTTTTACGGAATTTTGAGAGCAGTTTAATTAGGCCCAATGAGCCGGTTAAGGAAGGTGACTTAGTGGAGGCTGGGGCTCGGTTTCGGTTGCAGTAAAACTAGATTAAAAGCTTATTTTTGTGGATCAGGTCTTTTGAAAGATATTGATTAGGATGTCAGGCTTTTCCACTTTAAGAAGGGAGATTTCCCTTCCCTCCTTGCTTGAAAGTTAATGTCATGCAGTATCCTAGAACTCAAATTGAGCATTGTGATTCACTGATGATTGGATATACCCAAAGACCCAGGGCATTTAGGATCAATCACAAAGGGCCTTCGAGATAACCTAGGCGGAGTGCTCCATGTTTTTTTTCCCCCATGAGGCTTTTGTGAAGTGACAAGTTCATGTTTTATTATAAACCTTAAAAATGCAGATGTAGTAAAGCTAGTACTTTGCATTCTCTTGGTGATTATAAAATCATACCATCTTCTAGTGTCTCTACTACCAGCATACAGTGTGTAATGATAGTGAAAATTAATTCACCCTTCAGCCTACTCACGAAATAGACCTGAAAAGGTACACCACTCAGCTGTTAAATTTAGAGAAGAAAGCATGAATTCAAGATGAGTGTGCACCTGTTTTAACACGCTTTCTTGTGACTGAAGATAACCTTGAATTTGGTCTGATGAAAAGGCTGACAATGGGACAGTTTGCGTGATTCCTTTCGTACTACACCAGCGTGGGTAGTCACTGCAGAATTTTAACTGTCAGGAGTCTCCTCCCTTACTTTTAGGGTGAGTGTCCTAAAGCAGACTGAGGGGACAGGTATGTGCTAATCAGAGGAATGAGGTTTTTTTCCTTGCCTGCAGTGCATGGCCTTTTCTGGCCACCAGTGAATGCTGGGGAGAGTGGACAGACATTGGGCACGCTGCCATTAATTTTAGCACGCCATCACTTCTCGGGAAGTGGGAGCGGGGACTAAATCCTGCAGGGATTTGTGAGTACTACACACGACCCTGGCGCTGTTGCTTAGCACTTGCTTTGGCATGCTGAGCATATTTCCCAGCTGTTGAGGATTGATGAACAAACCATTGCTGTCTGATGAAACTACGAAGATCCCACCTTTTGGAGGCGGGCGAGTTTCTGTGTGGTCTCCAAGTCCCTCCAGCTGACGCTCGTTTCGGGCTGTCACTCTAGCGGCTGCCGTGCAGGTGGGCTGTTTTAGTGTCCAGCCCGCGGTCCAGCCCAGCGGTCGCTCGGCCCTCGGTGACCTAAGCACTCGCCAGGTAGGGCGCGGGCGCGATTCCGCGCGGACAAGGCTGGAGCGCCGGCGGCTCGGAAGCGGTCGCGGCCCACAGACAGCGGCCAGGCTGGGCCGCCCCTCCTCCGCCCGGCAAGATGGCGGCCGCGCAGCCCACGTGACGAGGGCTGGCCCGCCCTGGACCCGAGCCTCGGCCAGGCTTGGTAGTGGAGGTGGAGAACCACGTGGGCCCGGTAAAGGGGAGGTTCGTGGGGGTGCATGCCATTGCCCCGGAAGTAACTTCGGTTACAGGTATGCAGTTTCTCATTGCTTAGGAACCATATTTGTCTTTTATTAGTGTGTGTGACCAGGGGAAGCATATTTACCTGCCCTCAGCGGATGAGGAAAAAGAAAATGAACTCTTTAATTTTTTGAAAAGTATACAGATCTAGAATACTGTACCTAGTTTTATAGTTGTACCTAATAACGATGTAGCGGATTTGTCTAACATTTTTTAAACCAATGACATTTATGGGTAGAACATGTACTTTAGCCAGCTTTCCTGTTCTGTGCCTGAAGGTGACCAAGGCCAGCTCAGTGTCTTGCCATGAGCTCTGTAAGGACTTGATGACTAGTCCACAAGCTATCTCCAGAGAAACAAGTACACGTGTGGTTTTACTCCTAGAAGTGACAATTCGTAGTTTTTAAGATGGGATTTATATAATTCTGTAGTGTTACATGGCGTTGAAACTTCAGTAGTGGCGTTCCTTTTAGGAGACTTGCACATAAATCTCATTTTCTTCCCAGCTGCAGTAGACTGCCATTAACTTGTCTGTGATTCCACAAATAGGCCGAAGAACAGCAGTAGGAATGCCCATTAGCCGTGTCCTAGGAAACCTGTGTAGCTCTTTGTTAGAGTTCTTGTAAGTGGAAAATAGCTGAAAACACCTGACGTTAAACAGGCCTCTTCCTGTTACTAGGAAGGTAAACCTTAAAGACTTAGGAACAAACCCCCATGTAGCTTGAGAGGTATTAGCCTTATTATTAGTTCATTGAAAAGACATGTATCCTCCCGTGTGTGAGTGGTTAAAGGCACTCAGACTATTCATGAGATGCACTGCTTGGTTTTAGGTTTATCCCTTACAATGCAAAGGTGTAAGCATTGGTTGTCTCCAGAGTCCATAGTGGTAGTTCTTGGAGCTTGAAGAATGGTTGTTTGACCTGACAAATAGTATTAATATTTGAATAAAAGATTAAAATATAAATACCAAGACACTTGATCTGTGTCTTAGTGTCACTTGAACTCATCAAAATTAAGTGGCTGTGAGTTCTTTATTTACTAAAATTACTAAATTTACTGGGGGGAACTTGTAAAATTGTTTCTTTTTCTGTAAACATGTAAATTAGCTGTATTGTCTTTGACTGACCAAATATTTCTACTCATTTTGAAATACAGATTATGTGAATTGAGTTTTGTTGGAGCCTGAGAAACAAAACTCTACAATGAGTTTTAGCAAATTCTACTTCTCCAAGAAAATGAGTTTGTGCCACCAGAGTTCATAGAGAAAGCAGCTACCCAGAAGTTTAGATGCCAGGATTCTGTCGCAGTATTAGGCACAAAAATGCTTTTTTAAGAGAGCTGTAGAAAAGAATAGTGTTTTATTGTTTTTGAGACAGCGTTTCACACATAACCCAGGCTTGCCTCAAACTGAAAATCCCACTTCCATTGCCTCAGGAATGTGGAATATAGATATGTGCCATAAAGTTCACCGGGAATACGTATTTGTATTGCTTTTAAGGCATTGCTAGAATATATCTTTTTTTGGGGGGGGGGGTTTCGAGACAGGGTTTCTCTGTGGTTTTGGAGCCTGTCCTGGAACTAGCTCTTGTAGACCAGGCTGGTCTCGAACTCACAGAGATCCGCCTGCCTCTGCCTCCCGAGTGCTGGGATTAAAGGCGTGCGCCACCACCGCCCGGCTTAGAATATATCTTTTAAGGCATTGCTAGAATATATCTTGCTGTGACGAGTGATGGTCGGAGAGTGGGACTTGCCTGAGGTTTCCCATGTTGGATGGTCTTGTTCTAGGAGCAAGTATTTGAGCT